ACTGAGCCACCCAGGCGCCCCAGAATGTATAATTCTTAAATTCACAGTTACAAAGTTGATTTGACAGCTCAGAGTTGCAATATTCTATCTTTTCAGTAAATTAAATAGATTGACATTTATTAGTATACATTTGAAAACAGTTAATAGGATATTTCTCAGAAACATACATTTATAAAGTACATAACTCATATGAAAACAGTTAATAGAATATTTCTCAGAAACACAGCATTTGTTCAACCAAAAATATATACATTGTGTCTAACCATACATACTCAATCTTAATAACAACATATCCTGAGGGATTGTATTCAGTGCTGAATAACAGAATACCCACACAATCTGCCCAGTATGTCAGTAATGCTTATTTATTTCACAGAAATCCTGAGGGCAGGGGCTCAATGATGCTGCAGGGAAACACAGTCCCATATGTTGTTATGGATGCACCATTGCCTCTGTTCTAGTGAAATTAGAAACACAGAAGCATGAGACTTAATAAGAGAATGAGGCGTTCACCATACAAATCAGACATTATTTGAATATGTTAAGATCTAGAGAAAAGCGGTCAGAGCACTAGATAATATCAACAGCCATGACATCCTAATCAGTGGCCTGGTGGACAGTATAGGGCTTTCAGGAAAATGTAAGCTGTGGACATCTAACCATGGAGGTACATCCATGATGGGAAAGCTGGTAGGGTGTCTGTGAAAGCCCACCCCTCTGACAAAATGGAAGTCACGCAGTTGGTATTTGTTTTGAGGATACTTTTGATCAGCAAGACTAGCAATCAGGAAAATAAGCTGGAGATGGTGCCCACAAAGTCCCTATGCATCTATCTCTTATATAGCGGTGGCTCAATAAACTGAAAATTGCTTCTTCTAGATCTCTTGCAAGCCAGGCTCTTACAGAATTCTATCATGGAACCATATAGAGGAGGCATCCTGGGAAATGTAGTTCCTAGCCTTACCTACGTTGATAGAACACAATCCAACAGAACCATCTCCACCTCTAGATTTCATTCTCTCTTTTTAATTCAAATGTATTGTCCACTTCCTAACCAGAAGCCAGGACAGAGTATAGAGCAACAGATGGAAATAATAGTTCATATGAAACTATACTCTTTCAAGACCATTGCATACCTACAAATTTCTGCCAACTTACATACTTACAAAACTGCAAGTGAGCAAAATGGAATAATGAAACTCTGGCCAAAAAAAAAAAAAAAGGTGTTGAGAATACATACCTTATGTAAGCAAAGAAGTGCCAACTTTAAAAGTCATAGGTTCTCTCAGGAAGATAATAAAATGAAATACATGTAATGGTAAAGTGATAGATTGGAACACACTGGGCTGGTAAGAAAATCTTTTTTTTTTTTTTTTTAAAGATTTTATTTATTTATTTGACGGAGAGAGACACAGCGAGAGAGGGAACACGAGCAGAGGGAGTGGGAGAGGGAGAAGCAGGCCTCCTGCGGAGCAGGGAGCCCGATGAGGGGCTCGATCCCAGTACCCTGGGATCATGACCTGAGCCGAAGGCAGATGCTTAACCAGCTGAGCCACCCAGGCGCCCCCAGTAAGAAAATCTAAACTAATACCAATGTTA